GTATATATTCATATATAAACCGACCTATTATATGCATATATATTATATAAAATAAATACAAATAGGCATATATAAAAAATCATACATACAAAACATACACACAGATATATATATATATATATATATAATAAAATACGCACACCTTAATATGTCCAGGTTACAACATCCCTGCATATATCGGTGGTACTGTCCTTAATTAAATAGTAAACTACATTCACACTCCATTCCCCCCCCTACCACTCCCACACAGCACCCAATACTACACCCCTACCATTTAAACCAAACAAACTCATCACCACATCACATCCCATACACCGTTCGCCTCCTACACACACCTCCCGTGATGACGTGCCACTAGCGTCCTTGAGTATGTCCAGTATACTCTCTTGTAGCTGCCTTTGCCTCTGCAGAATATCTGAGTCTCCCTCTGCTTCTATGTGGTCTCTGGCCGTATCGGGCGTGCGTGCCCGGCGCGATGAGTCACGTCGACCTACCGAAGACTCTCTTCTACCTACCAAAGAATCGCTCCGATCTCTCGGCGGCCCGCGGATCTCGTCTTCTACCATACGTAGCCCGTCTTCTATGGGGACAGCTCGCATGTCTGGGTGGTAGGGTTTTGATAGGGTTTTGATAGGGTGTGTGTAAGGGGGTGTATAAGAGTGTGGCTCAGAGTGGCGTGTGGATGCGCAGTGTTGATATGTTTTTCTGTAATAAAGAAAGTGAACGAGACACAACGGTTCTGCTTGCATACATGTACACACACACGCACACACGTACACACACACACGCACACACACATATATATATATATACAAACACTTCTAAAAGCATATGTACGTGTCAAGCATATCCCCCCTCATATCCCTTCTGAGTCCTAGACACCTTACCTCTGGGAGGATTCTTCTGTAACAGATTGACGGACATCAGACGAGAGCGCTCGTCCCGTTGGTTGAGTACTATGGCCGCCACTATACCGTCGGTTCGCAGTTGGTCTAAGAACTTCTTAATAGGCGAGTCAGCAACTGTGACACGCAGTTCACAGGCAATGTGTCTCCTTTTGACCGCATCCATCACGAATTCCGCGTATTCACTGTGCAGTGTATGGGGTGTGTGTGTGTGTGTGTATGTGTGCGTGTATGTATGTATGTATGTATGTATGTATGTATGTATGTATGTATGTATGTATATATATGTATATATATATATATATATATATATGTGTGTGTGTGTGTGTGTATGTGTGTGTGTTTGCATGTGTTGTGTGTGAGCGTGTGTGTTTGCATGTGTTATGTGTGTGCGTGTGTGTGTTATGTGTGTGCGTGTGTGTATATGTGTGTTTGTATGTATGTATGTGGTGTGTTCTATTAGGTTGTCCTCATGATATAAACACATATACCCTGTGCAGTACAAGGGATGTGTGTGTGTGTGTGTAAGTCCGTTGTCTCCACTACGTAAACGTTTATATATACATATATATATAAATATATATATATATAAATCACATAGTAGTATACACAACTGTGACAGGTACATACCGTTGTGGTTCGTAGAGTGCTATGACCACACATTCCACTGCGGGTGGCCTTCGTTGTTGGTCTGATGGTCGTCTGTTGTTTGTGTGGGGTGTTGGACCGTACCTCCGATCCAATGATGAGCGATCAAGTGATCTGGGTTCAGGGGCGGGTATCGTTGAAACGTTAAATAATTGAGTGCGCACACATTAATCCATGGATACATGAATATATAAACGTGAAGAATAGATTGATGTATATATAATAGAGGGGTACACGGACATATAAACGTAAAGAATGTATATGTATATACTAATTCATGGATAGATGAATACATAAACGTACAGAACGTATATATCAATATATTAATACATGGATGCATGAGTAAATAACGTAAAAGGTGTATATCTTTTTGTTTGTGTTGAAAATAACCGAATTGACACAAGCATAGATGTCCGTCCTGTTCATGTTCATGTGAATTTGTTCTAGGCTATGGTGCGAACGTAATGTAGCAAAATATATAAGTAGATGAATATATGAATATATATATATATATATATATATATATATATTAAATACAAACATACATAGATACATAGATACATGCATACATAAATACATACATATATACATGAATGCATACATGCATGGTACAAAGGTACATATGTACGGACATACGTCGATATATCGATACATACACACACACACACTCACATACATACATACATACATACATACATACATACATACATACATACATACATACATATATACATATATAAAATATGTATGTATCTCACCTTCCGCCATCGCGTGCGTCGCCAGGCGGGCCGTCTCGGCGGGTGGCACCAGAATTGTACGCATTTGGTCGTGAGCGTTTAGGGTCAGAGGGGTCGTCCCTGGCGAGTAAGTAAGTATCACACGCATATAATGAAAACGTTATTTAATGTAATGCGTATGATCCATATAATACATCTGATCATAGCATATAATACAAACGTTATTGAACGTAAAACATATGATCCATATAATACACATGCGATAGTTGCCTATGATGTGAAGTTTTGCCATACAACAATCATCATCGTGGTAATAGCCTCGAACAGTGGTGTGTCGGTTATACTCACGCGTATGTGTGTGGTTATACTCACGCGTGTGTGTGCGTTTATACTCACGCGTGTGTGTGCGCTCATACCACTTTGAACGTTTTGAGATATACTTCTGAGGGCGAAGATTAGCGTATTAAGCATGTCTACAACACAACCACTCACATACCTAATCTATCATACGTATGTACGTAAACATCACCCCTTTCTGTGCACTTACAGATAGACTGACTCCAACATCTCTACATATAAGCATAAAAACAGAACAGCCGCCATTTGGAACACCCATACCCACACAAAGACCGTATATGCACATATACCGACACACGCACCCTATACCACACACAAAGACCATGTATGCACATATACTGACACACACACCCCATACCACACACAAAGACCGTGTATACGAAAACAGAGACTTTAAAGCTACTACTTTCGACACACATAAACATTCACCTTAAACTGGTACATACATAGACCTCGCTTACATTCATACTGTGACAAACAACTTTATAGTACACCCATGTTGGCAAACACCCTGATTTACTAACACATACACACGCACACACACACACGCACGCACACAAACGCACGCACGCACACACACGCACGCACAGGCACAGGCACACAAACACACGCATACACACACGCTCCGGCACCGGCACAGGCACAGGCACAGGCACACATATATATATACTAACACACGAAGAGATTTTGCACATACTTACACTGACACACGCACACATACCATATGCACAAGTAGCTCAGCAAACACAGACCACTCACACACTGTCCTGACTTACTCGTAACGCCCACGGGCCGGTGATAGCGGCCGATTGTAACTACTGCCTCTATCTGAACGGTTGTGCCTGTGTGTAATTGATAGGAGGAGTGAGCATTCTTATGGTAATGTATGTGTGTAGTTAATAAGTATATTAGACATTCTTACGGTGATGTATGTGTGTATGTTTGCAAGTCAATCGGACAATCAACAACAACAATGTATTCACTTTTCTAGATCATATTCTCTTCCCAC